CTCTCTGCAGAGGACGTTAGGCGTAGGACCACGAGGTCACAGGTCTGTTCACAGAATATCCCCTCCACTCGGAGCCTGCCCTCGTGTTTGGACCCCACTGTGCTCTTCAGATGGCCCCTTCCAAGGTGCCTCTGTTCCTCCACCAGGCAGGCTTCAGTGGACTGGCGCTACCACTCCACTGGTCCATTCGTCTTCAGAAGTCTGGGGCTCTGGAAAGCATGCTAAACGGTTCATTGCCATCTATTGATGCCTCAGTTGATCTATCCATCTGCCACCTAATAACTCATCACTTATCCATCCACCCATCTATCCATCCACCCATCCCTCCCCCCCACATGCCACTCATCCACCACCTACCCACCACTCACTCATCTATCCTCCCACCTGCCACTAACCTGACCATCTATTCATCTACTCACTCATCCATTCATGTACCCACTCATCCACTCACCCGCCCATCCAACCATTCACCCGCTCATCCACGCATCCAACCATTCACCCACTTATCCTTCCTTCCACCCACCACTTATTTGCTCATCTAGCTACACATAGAGACATTTCTCCAGTACCCACTCACCTAGCCATCTTCCCTCCACCCACTTGCCCACCCATGTACTGTATCTATCCATCTACTCATTCACCCAGACTTCTTTTAGCAATTTATATCCTTGAAAAGTTGGTAGGATGGTCAGCCATAAAATCTCTGTCCATTCTTTAAGCATGACTCAAGATTTATTTTAAATCAAGAACAACAGTATTGAAATACTAGCTGCTTTTTCTTAGATTCCTAATATAGGTGTCCATTATTCTGAAACTTTATGTTTTTCTCACATATTCATCATAATTGCCTTACAAATTCAATGTTTTCTCCCTAAGGTGGGGATTCTGGGGTGGAGAGGTGCTGTGCAGCTTGTACAAGGGGGTACCCAGCTCACGGTCTGCAGCCAGCATCGGAGCTGGGGTCAGTTTCTCCCCTGCTGGACTTCCTTGCAGAAAAGACACCACAGTCAGACCCCATCTCACAAAGCATTTGAAGAGGGCAAAGGATACTGGGTAGGCAGTGTTTGCTCTCACTGTTCAGCACTTTAGCATGTGTTTCCCCTGTGGTTTGAAGGGTCCGTGCTGAACATGCCCCCAACTTCTAAGGCTGTTCCCCAGTGGGCACACATGCTTCAGGCAGCTTGCTGGGGAGCCCTCCCTTCCTTCGGAAAAGGCTGGCTGGGAAGAGAGGAGGAGACTTTGTTAGAGATGCATGACAGTCAGGTTTCAGGTGGATGGGACTTTTTCTTATTTGTAGTAACAGCTGACTATTGCTGTGTAACAAATGGCCACAAGCATAGGGATTGAAACTATGGAATTTACCCTTCCACAGCTGATGGGCAGCAATCCAGGCACAGCCTCTGGGGCCTTGGCTGTGGGTCTCTTGAAGGGCATTGTCCCTCTCAGTTGGATTGCCCTGCTCTATGGAGAGGAGTTGCAGTGTGCTGGCCTCTTCTCTCTTGTTCAGGGCGGACACCTCTGCACCTTTCCAGTGGAAATTCGTGGAGCTTGGGACCTTCATTTCCTCCACAGGGCCAGCTCCCCAACTCAAAATGTCCTCGCGCTGGCCAGGGAGGGGGTGTGACATGCACCTTACCATGCGTGTGTGTGTGTGTGTGTGTGTGTGCGTGACAGTCACCTGGCTGAAAGATCTTGTTCCTTTTGTTTTGTTCACTATTTAATAGACTATTTTTACAGCATTTTTAGGAAAGCACTGGGAGTTCCTGTATTCTCTTGAACACTTGTTAGCATCCTACCTTGGAATGGTGTCTTTGCCACAGCTGATGAGCTAACTGCTGCTAACACAGCCCCATTAGCCAGAGCCTGGTGTCCTCCCTGGGCTCCCTCCGCAGCTCATGTTCCTTGGCCCTTGGCAAACCCACAGTGTTGTGTGTCCTCCATTACAGCACCACACGGTGCCCTCTCCCTTCCGCCCCAAGTGCCACCTGTCTGTGCTTCGCCTTGCTCCTAGCTCCTGGCAACCACTTTTTACTGTCGCTGTGACTGGCCTTTCTTTAAAGACAAGAGAGAATAGATTGTATGTACAAGATGAGGGGAAACCGTCAGCAAAGAACAGAACTGAACTGGATTGGTGGTGCACCCCTGTCGCTCCAGCACTCTGGGGACTGGAGCAGGAGGATCCCATGTTTGAGCCCTGCCTGGTAACTTAGCAACTTAGTGAGCCCTTATCTCAAAAAAAAAGTGATGGGGATCTAGCTCAGCGCAAAGGCCCTGGGTTCACTTCCCAGAAACATAAAAAGAAAAGGCAGGGATTTGGGAGGTTTCGGGGAGGTGGCGCAGTGCAGAGGACAGAAGCTCCATCCTAGAGACATGAACACATGTGGCAGCCTGCACGGCCTCAGCGGAGTGGAACTGTACTGTGTGGGGACAGGTGGGCTCTGGCTCAGGGCTCTGACCCCATCCCTGAGGTCAGGTCCGGATGTGCGTGGGTGTGGGTGGGGGAACTGTCCCAGCAGCAGGGAGGGAGAGCGGAGTGGTGAGTGATGGCTAAATGGATGCCTGGCTGCACAGGTGGGAGCTCTTCCTTCAGCCCCCAGGATGGGTCTGCCGGAGGCCAGGCCAGGGCTGGGCAGGTGTGGCCGCAGGACAGGGACAAGAGGTTCACGGGTGCCAGGGAGGTGGGAATCCAAGGCCTGAGCAGAGCTGGTGGTAGGACAAGTGGGGTGTGGCTTCTACTTCTCTGGTCCCCAAGGTCACTTCCTGGTTTGCTCTTGCCAACCCCGCTGACAACACAGGAGGACCAAGGGCACTGCCACCCTGCAGAAAACAAGGCAGTCTCGCTCTCTCCAGTTTGAACCCAGCAGGGGATTTGAAAGAATCAGAAAGCAGGTGAAGAACTGCTCCTTGAGTGCCTTTGCCCTCAAACCAAGTACCCAGAACAAACTTCTTTTTGCAAAACATCTTTTCCTGAGAACTCCACAATTCTTTTTGGGGGAGGGGGAGGGTTAACATTTTGTGTTTTCATAAAAGCCATATTCCATCCGTGTTATTCTGTAGCACGCTTTCAGAGCCAGGTCTATTTTTTAAAAAGCATTTGGCACTCTGAAGTGTTACATGTGGCAGAGTGAAAACAGCAATATGCGGAGATTCAAAAGATGTCACTCCGTGTTAGGTACAAAACGTGATCAGCCTTAATCCTTCTCCAACACAAGTACTGACTTTAGACGCGGTGTTGCAGGGCACGGGGCCACCCTGGCTGGAGCAGAGTCCAGTGCTGGAGCCCAAAGCCAAAGCGGGGAGCCCGGCTTGGGGAGTCGCAACACACCAGCTCTGGCCACTTACCCCAAAATCAAATGGAAAAAAGTAAAGGTGAGGCAGGAAAAAAATGTAATACTTGGTGTAGCCATACTGGAAAGACAAGGGACCCTGCCCCAGGTCCCCAGTCCTGTCTTTGGGGGTCCTGACACGGACTTCAGGGTTACATAGGGAAAGACCAGGGGTGGTGAGAGGCTGTGTAATTAAGCAGTCCTGGTATCACTGGTCTGGTTGATGATTATCTTAGTTCTGGTCCTGTGAAGGCCCGGAGAAGACGTTATCACCGGAGGGGGTGATTCTGTTCCCTCTGAGATAATTGCTTCTGCTGGGGGGGTGATCTGCTGTGAGGCTCCCATTCCTGGCAGGTTTAGGGCAATGACTAGAGACTTCTGGGCAGCGCTCCAGGGGTCTGGAACAGGATGTTATAAAATCAGGCGCTGACAATCTGTTGATTATGATGTCCAGGCAAGTCTTGAAAATACCTTGGTTACTCTTTCCTTGGTGCCGACCACCAGCCTTGAAGGGAAGGGGCACCCCTTAGCTGATTAACATGCCCGGCGCAGAGCGAGCGGGCTCTGGCCCACAGTGCTGTGTGGTGAGAGAGACAGATACGGCACGGAGGCCGGGACGCCAGGCTTTCTTCCTGCTTTAGTTCCCATCGGCATCTGCAGACCCCAGTGCAGAGTCAGTGCTTTCAGCAAAAGCGGCCCTCAGTCCCTGCGACAGGTTCTGCAGTGCAGCACCTCCAGACGCGAACTGCTTGTCAGGGCAGCAGGAAAAGAGCAGAGCGAAGCCCTCTCCAGGCCTGGAGAGAGAGCACCTCGGAGCAGCCGCCGCTGCCGCGCGAGGTAGGGCTGCAGCTGGCTGGCTGGAGTGACAGCAGGACAGGCCTGCATCTTCAGTGTTGGTCTCTATGCTGGACACTCTTGATGGTGGCCCCAGCGGTCCTCTTGGTGGCTTCCACGACTAAGTGCTCACACATGTCTCTCATGTTGTCTTATGGTGGCCTCACAACAGTCCAAGCGGGAGAGTTACAGTGGCCACGAGCACAGACAGGTAAACAGGGCTTCCTGAAACTCAGGGAGAGTTAAGAACTGGCCTGAGACTGTCGTCTCCCGCGGGTCCATGATGTTAGCTAGCCCGGCTGTGCCGTAACAGTGAAGAGAATGCTGCCTTGTCATAGTTGGCCCTGGGCCCAGGCTCGGTTTAGAACACGCTAACCTATGGGGTGTGGGCCACGGTTGCTCACAGAGGTACTGGTGGCCTAAGGAGCCAACCCAGAGTGTTCTTTTGGAAACCTTTGTGAGAATAAGTGCTTGTCCTTCCAGGAAAATGTTCGTGGTTTTCTGACCATTGCAAAAAATTAACCACCGTATCACATTTAAATCCATGCCAGTTGATTGATAGTTTTCCCTAGTACAAGTGCTTCTGAAAGCCAGCCAATCAGTGATAGCTCTATCCTTCAGCCAGTCTGTAAGAGCCTGCCCTTCAAGGAACCACCCTATCAATGAGAGCCCCTCCCTTCTGGAAGCCAACCAATCAGTAACAACCCTGGCCTTCTGGAAGCCCGCCAATCAGTGACAGCCTTGCCTTCCTAAAAGTCAGTCCCTCAGGGAGGGGCCTGGCCTTCTGGAATCGGCCCACCAAAATTGTCTCACTTTGATAACTGCAATGCCATAGCTAAGCAGCCACCAGAACCACCCATTATAACTCTGCTTTTCTCTGTGCTGGGGCTGCAGCTCTCCCTGGCTTATAGGTGTTTGCTTCTGACACCGCGTGGGCCCTCCGTGGGCAGGTCTGTCCTGTGCTGTGGACTCCTCTAGGAAGCCCCGACCTGGGGTAGGAAGGAAGGTGGGCACTGCTTTGGCTGGTGGCTGATGTGTGATGGGGCCTGGCATTGGGGATGTGTGTGGGGCCTGGCAGTGACACCACACCGACTCCTGACCTCCTGGGGCTCTTCTCTGTGGACATTTAAAGGGCGGAGCTCTGCCAGGCCCTGCCTCTTTCTCCCAGTGGCCAGGCGAGGCCACTCTCCCTTGGAAGGGCGGTGTGGGCGGGGTGGAGGAGGGAGGGTGGGGCGTGACCTCTGGGGCCCAGGCTTGCTGTCAGTGTGGGTGTCTGACTGGCCGACTCTGTGACACTGCCGGACTCAGCCTCCGGGCACGAGGGAGGAGCAGCAGCCAGCAAATTGGCCTTTTCAGCTTTCTCTTAATTTGCCAGCAAACGCTCCTTTTTTTACCCTCAGCATTGCACTGGGTGCCCGATCCTGATGTCCGAAAGCAGTGGGCTACAATCACTCTAAATCAGGCTGGAAAGCGTGTTTCTGAGTCTTTCCCCATCTGTCTGACTTGAAGGTTCTGCTGTTGGTAACGAGTCGTTTCTTCGGCAGAATCCTGGACGGGAGGAACTTCGTGTTCAATCATTGCTAGTCCATGACACAAGCTGGAAGCCTTGTGAACCCTCCTCCAGGCCACACGCAGCTCCGAGGACAGTGCCTGGCTGGGGACCAGAGTGCCCTGCAGGGAACTCGGCCTGAGGGACTATCCTCCGCGACTCTGGGCGACCTGAGGCCTGAGGGTGGGTGACCACGTGCCGGGCAGGCAGGGTGGAGAGACAGGAGGTGGGTGGCTGAGTTCATGGCAAGTGCTGGGGACACTGGTATCCCTGCCCTCCTGCTTCCCTCGGGTCACCATGCTGGCCTTTAGTAATGACCAAGGGCTCATCTCAGGAACTCTGCAGGTGACATGTCTTGTTGCACCTAAAGGAGGCCTGGCACTGCCCAGGTCCCTGCTTTGTCTCTGGGTAGGTGGGGCCAAGGCACAAGCTGGGCCTCTCATGGGCAGTGGTGGGCATGAGGACCCTGCGCTTCGCCCCCCTACCCTAGAAGGGGGAGTAATTTCAGTTCTGCACTCCCAGGAGGACCCCCATGGACCCGGGTCTCAAGCCTGAGGTGCGGAGGGACCCGGCTCCATGAGTATTTGCCAGTATTATTGCCAAACTGTCTCCAGCGTCCATTATGGTTTATCCTAAAGCCACTTCTAAGATTTTTATAATTGCTATGAAATGCAGATGACATGAAATTAACCACTTTCAAGTGTCGCTTTCAGTCACACTTAGTGTTTCACACTATTGTGTAGCTGCCACCCCTACCAAGTTCCAAAACTCTTTCCTCATCTCCAGAGAAAGCCCTGTGCCCACTCAGTTGCCTGGAGCCATGTTTACCTCTCTGCTCGACCCTTAGCCCTCAGTGGTGGTCGGGGCAGGAGGTAAGCGCTGGAGCCTGGGGAGGCTTCTGACTGGGTCTCTTCCAGTGAGGAGAGACCCTCAGTGGCTCAGCGGTCAGACCTGTCACCTCGTTTTACCAGGGACAGCACAAGAGGGTGCCCCTGGCGAGGGTAGGAGTGGCCATGGGTTCACTTTTCCCTGTCTTGTGGGTGGCCTTGTGGCCTTGGGGGATTATGATCTTACTCAGGAAGGAGGGTTGTGGCGGGGACACAGGTCTTTCTGTCCACCTCCTGGTCCTGCCTCTGGCTTATGGGTATAGTTGGCATTCCATGCTGAGCCCCAAGGCAGGGTGCAGCTGGTGTGCTCGGACCCATGCAGGCATAGCTGTCTTCAAAATATCATCAGCTGGCCTTGTGGGGGCTTCAGTGACCTACTTTGTAGCCACTCACTGTAAATGCATGAATTAAAACATAAATTGTACGCAAGTTTTATTTTCACAAGTGGGAAAAGGCCTGAACATTCCAGGTGCCGCACCACCCAGAGCCAGTGGCCACTCTGCAGCTGTGTGTGTCTAAAACACCCTCCTGGCACCCAGCTTGGTGCTGACGGGAAGTACTGGCATCTTTAGGAGGCAGGGCCTGCCAGAGGTCCTCAGTCACAGGTCACCTAGGACAGACCGTGCAACCCTCCTCCTGTCCTTTCCTTCCCTTCCAGCAAGTGAACGGCTTCCCCCACTGCTCTCCACCCTGCGCTGCGCAGGCCCCAAGCCATGGCGATGACTGTGGCCTGGAGCTTCCGGAACCACGAGCTGCATACACAATGTCTCCACAGGCTGATGGCCCTGGGCGGGCGTGTTCTACTCTGAGGCAAAACCAACCAGCACCCAGGAGCAGGGTCTGAGCACTGACTTCCAGTCCTTAGTGCTGTTCTTGGTCTCCACCTCTGGCTGTGTCTGCTCCCTTTTCTGGGCCTGGGTCCTTCCTTCCTGGGTGGTCTCTGGGCTCCCTGGGTCTGACCCTGTCTTTCTGGGTGATGCTCTGTCCACCGTCTGGATGCCCTCCTGGATCCAGTAGCCCCCGCACAGGAGTGTGAATCGCTGGAGCTCTGGCCAAAGCCCGAGAGAGCCTGTGTGGAAAGGCTGGGCTTAGAGGCTGCAGGGCCGCCCTTTGGAAACCCCATTCTGTGGATAGGAAGAGCCTGGCTCCAGCTCTACCCCAAGGGTGTATGAGTGTCCTTGTCTGACCCAGCTCTCCTACAAGTCCTCCTTGGGGTCTTGTGGACTCTTGCACCCCATAGATGTGCTCCCCTTGGACTTGTGAATGTGCTCCTACTGGAGAAAAGGTCTTTACAGGTACAGTTAAGGATTTCTGGGTGGTGTTGTCCTGGGTCATGTGGGCAGGCCCTGGATCCCTGCCAGGTGTCCTCCTGAGAGGAAGCCAGGTAAAAACTGAGGCAGGGCCAGTGTGATGCTTCACCAGCCCAGGGACCCCCAGGTTGGCTAAGGTCCTGGGGCTGGACAGAGGCCAGGGCTGTGTTCCGTTCACACCCACCCTGCTTCATCTCCACGTCAGACTTGAAAGCAGCCCATCCCTGCTGTTGTACATGCACAGTTTGCGGTGGTATGTTACTGCAGCCCTGGGAAACTGGGCCAGGTCCCACCCCAACTCTGGCCTGCCTCTGTGACCTCAAGCATCCATTTCTGATCCGGAAATGGAGTAAAGACGCCAGGGGAGGTGAGGACAAGAGCAGTGACGCTGGCTCATGGTCCCAGCTCAGCATCTGGCCTGGCCCACATGTGTACAGAGACACCAGGGAGAAAGTCCAAGAACCTGGTTCCCCCAGAGGGTAGGAGGCCCTGGGCTGGAGACTCACCCCAAAGAGGCAAAGGCAACGGCAGAGGGGGTGAGCAGCTGAGGTCTGAGTGCCGTGACCCCAGACACTGTCGTGGACACCATCATCCCAGTGTTGAAGTCCAGAAAGATCAAAGTCCCTAAAGTCTCAAGCCCTGAAAATAAAATTCTGAAAAAGTAACAAAAGAATTCTTTAAAAAATATTGGTATGTTTAAGAGTGGGTTTACTTGAGAAACAGAAACGCAGCATTTCGTGGGTAATTTTACATGATAAAATAGGCCACAATCACTTGCTTACTCTGCTGGTGTGAGCGCTCAGGTTGTTTCGTGAAGATGCGGGGTGAGAGTGAGCTGCATAAACCCACAGCGCTTCAGCGGGCCCTGCGGGTGCTGACTTTGCAACTATCGTTTTCTGAAATGCTGATGGACTGCCTGCGTCTTTCGATGAGGTGCTTGAAAGCACTGAGAGGTGATCCAAAGAGCCGAGATCTGGAGAAATATTTCTTTTCAAAATGTGGAGGTACAAAAAGGGCGTCTTTTCATTGATTGAGGAAGTTTCCATGCTTTTACACACACGTGCAATGTTTACCCACAAAGCCAACTGTGTGATAACACATTTTCCAAGGGTCAAATTGGCCAAAAAAAAAAAAAAAAAAAAGCATAAAATTAATTAGAACTCTCTAAATGTTATTATACATTTTGTACCTCCAGTATTGAAAATAAGGTGAGGATGAAATATGTATAGTAGGAAATTATTTAAAAAGCTGATGATTTAAAATAGTGAAAGAATTGAAATCAGAAAATAGCAACAACTAAAAGGGTAAAAAGAGGAAAAGAGCACCCTCACATTAAAAACAATGCCCTAACCCTCTGGGCTGCGGCCCTCCTGGCCACTGACCGTGTCCTGAGGTCTTTCGGGGGTGCCTGGCCACCTCCTTTGTCTTAGGAGGGACCACGTTGTCTCCTGGGGTGACACCCCCATTGCAAGCCCCTTCCCAGCCCCTCCAAATGACACCCCCTTCTTGGGGTACTTCCTTCCCCAGAACTCGACTTTGGACATCTCTTAGTGTTTTTATTCAGTGAATGGCAGGCTTCAGGATTTGGGCTTTCAGGATTTCAACATTTGGATTTTAATCTTTCGAGGAGATGATTTCGGGGATTTTGGATTTTAAGGATGTAGAACTTTCGGGATTTCAACACTGGGGGTTTGGGGGTTTGGGAGTTTGGGAGGATGTTTCCTGGTGCTTTGATTGGCGTGGATTGAGCCTGCAGGGCCTCGAGATTGTGGGAACAATGGAGCCATCTGGTCAGGTACGCAGGGCAGCTGTGCTGCACGCACCCCGACTCACAGGAGGGCAGAGCTGTGAGGACAGTGGGGTCCCAGCTCAGGGTCCTGCCACCCCCACCCTGTACTATACCTGCAGCACCAGGCGGACCATTTAAAGGCCGCAATTTCTGTCCCGTGACCGATGCCCTCTGGTGCATGTACAGTTGGAAATCCCATAGAAAACATCCCGTGGAGGAGACCCGTTGTCCTGGGCGTGCCTCGGACGGCACGGACCGGCACCCAGCCCGCGTGGCACTCAGCGCACCGCCCTAGGCTCTGCCTCTGTAATTCCCCACTGCCACAGAGTGACAGGGTGACACACACAATCTGGTCATTTTCTCCAAACTTTACACTCCACGTCTTTATTAGCAGGTGCTAAACTGCCACTCCAGCTGCTGAATGGTAACAATTAACCCCACGAACGTTGAAACAGCTGTAATTTTTGAGGAAATGAAAAACATTAATAACTACTACCAAAAGCTAAGAAACAAAGGCAAACAGAAACACAGCCTCCCCAAAGGCTGAAATTACCGAGACGGGACAAGAGCGTCCCGCAGTTCAGGCAGCTGCGCCCCCGGCGGGCAGGGGTCCTCACTCAGTCTGGCGGGGGCTGCTGAGGTGGGGTGGGCTGTCAGACATCCCAGGCTGCTGCTCCGTGAAGAACAGGGCTGCGGATGGTGACAGAGATGCTGCGGAGCCGTGCTGTCATGTGCAAGCATCCCGCCTCCACACCCTCAGAAACTCTCACATGTGTGTACCCTGCATGAGTATCCAAGCACACCCTCATGGGCACACCATACAAATGAACATCCGCATGCAGCAAGGCACCCCATCATAAGGCAGACACCCCATAACACACCCAGGCAACACACCTGTGCACACCCCTGATACCCCAGGCCATATCAGGCTCCCCCACATGCAGGTACCACACACAGGTTATCACCCTGAGGCCCAGCACCGTGGCCTGTGCCTGGCCTCTGCACAGACAGTGTGACACACACACTCACACTCGCAGTGTATGCAAGGTGTGCTTGCATACATTGGTTGGTGGTCCAGGTGTTTGGGTGAAGGGACGAGTTAGCCAGGCCAACCTGCCCTTTCTGCACAGGGAGTGGCAGGGATTCAGGAAAAACAAAGAAGAGGGTCCCTTCTAAGTAGTGATTTAATTTTCCAATAATTAAATGAAGAGGCTACCTTTTTTTGAAATAATTTTGATTTAAAATTTCCTTATATTTGTTGTAGATTTTATTTTGCCACAAATTTTAAGAAGTAAGTGTGAGTTTCAGATTATGTTTTTGAAAAAGATACATGGTTTGGTCTTTACCTTTATGTATATGGTATAAATACTTATACCCACGCACATGTTCACATGTGTGGGCAGACCCGTAGGCAATGTACACGCATGATGCTGTGAGCCCACAAACACGTGCACATGTGGGCACCCACTGGCTCACACCTGCCCACTGGACACACAGGCCATGTGTGTGCGCCTGTCTCACTGGCCCTTGGGCTGGTGGGCAGCAGGACTGGGTGTGTATGGACAGTGGGCCGGGGCAGGAACTGAAAGGCAGGAGCTGGGTCTCTGAGCTGGGAATGGAGCTAAGAAAGCCGGGTTCTGGGGGCAGCTGCCCTGGGCAGCTTTGGGGTGCAGGTTGGTGGTGTGCGGGTCCAGGGACCAGGCAGATCTTCTGTGAGATGGCCCTGTCCCGTTCCTCCTTCTGCTTTTGCAGCATCGTGGGGTGCAGCTGCCCCAACCCGTTGCCCCTTCCCATGCTCCCCGAGCCCTCCTGCCCATCGCTCGGTTTAGGACTTGCAGGGCCCGCTTGAAGGGTTCCCGCAGTGCCTGCCATCGTCGTCCTGGACACCTGCGTTCCTGAAGCCCAACCTCCTCCAAGAGCAAGGCTGCCCTCTGGGGCTTCCCTAGGAGTCCCCGAGCCTGTCGCTCAGAGCAGGGTGTGAGTCACGGCTAAACCAGTCCACCACATCCAATTAGCAATGCTGGGAAAAACTTCGCTGCACGCCAACTTGCAGATTCCGTAAGTCCCCGTTTAATCTTCCACTAAATTTAAAGAGGGTGTAATCAGCAGTTCATTTCTTTCTCTTAGTGTGTGTTTCTCTTGAAATGAGAGTTAAAATGGATTCTTTCTCCTGTCCTGGGGCTCCTCGTTCAGCATGAGTTGGAGCTGAGATAACAGGAGCTGTGCAGTGGTGCTGCTCCAGTGTGGCCGCGTGGTCGTGAAACTGTGCTTGCTTTTCCAGAATGAAAGAGCGGAGCTGTGCCTTGCTCTGCCTCGGCCGGGCCGCAGCTCTCGGAACTGTGGGTCCTGCCGTGAGCTTCTGCACACTCAGGCTCCTCTCTCACCTGTGTCCCCAGGGGTGGTCTTGATCCCAGGCTGCTCGCACCTGCCCCTTCCTGTCCCTTCCTGCAGTACGGTGGGCAGGGCCTCCCTGGGCTCTGACCTCTGCAGGTAGAACCACAGGCACTCGACTTGGCCAACCAAGCGCCACCCTTTGGGCCTTCTCATTCTCTGGCCACATGAGGTCGGTGCCTGCAGGACATAGTGTCCTCCCGGGTCTCCTGACCAGCGCTGTGCACTCCTCGGTACAGGTGCACGGGGCTGGACCCACCCGGCGCCTGCCATACCAGAGCGGATGAGCTACGCATGAGCCTGCATGTGTGCTCGGTGCACATGTGTGCCTATGAGTGTGTGTGCAGGGCGTGTGCATATGTGTGGTGCATGCATGTACCCATGGAAGCATACACGTGCTGCATCCACATACACATGGGCGTGTGTACATGCATGTGCACATATGTGCAGCAGGCTCCCCTGCCCTGAGAACAGCTGCTGTCTCAGACTAGCCTTCCCGGGTTCTGGTGGGTTGGGTTTGGACTCAAACTCCCAGGCTTTCTCTCACTGAAGGCGGTCTCAGGTGGACTGGCCATTAGCCCAATCCCACATGTGCCTGTACGACAGTGGACACCCCGTGTGGCAGGCACGGTCCCTGTGCCAGGCTCCAGTCAGGAGCACAGGAGCTGGGCCCAGTCGGCACTGTCTGGTCTGAGGAAGGCGTGGGCTTCGAGCTGAGGCCCATCTGAGCACTCTGCCCACCCAGCCTTTCCTGTGCTGGTGGCTCCGCCCATCAGAGGCAACTGGGGTTGGCAGAGTCTGCCCCTCCCCCGCTTGGTTTGGACGGCATTGTGCCCCTTGAGACTCCAGTGCTGGGTGCAGGAGAGTGTGAGGAGAAGCCCTGCACGCTGCAGCCTGTGGCCACCCCTCACCCACTGCCCACTTGATCTCCGCAGCACCCTGTGGGCGAGCCGCTGCGTCCTGTCGCAGGGCACAGATGAGCCCATTCTGCAGCCCGCTGGTGTGGGAGGTGGAGATGCAGCTGGAGGAGGCCTGGACACTGCCCCGTTTCCTGGCCGTGAAGTCAGGCCTGGAGTGGGTCCTGTGCCCCTTGTCCCAGAGGCCATGACGCAGCGGAGCTCCCAGTACCCAGCTGGCTGGCCTGTCCTAACGGGGCCTGTGCCTGCCCGCAGTGCCAGGAAATGTCCGCAATGGAGCACAGACGCTGTCGGATGGTGTGGAGGGGAAGGAGAGCGGGAAGGAGGCAAAGCAGGGCCGACGCAGGGCGACGAGAGCCTGGGGCTCACCACCTCCGGAGCAGCACGGCCTGAAGGTCATCCCTGAGCACAAAGGTCAGCAGCCCGGAAGCCAGATCTCAGCCCCCTCCCAGGACTCTGCAGATGCAAACAGCTGTGGAAAGATTGTGGGGCCTCCCTGAAGGCCTTGTTTCCGCGTCACGCTGCTGCCACA